ATTGGACTTCTTAAATACATCCAACCTCACATCCTAATTATGTAGAACTTAAGTTGTCTTCCCTGTCCTCGTTGTCTGACATCGGCGTTTTCCAAGAAATTTCCTCAACAAAATTATGTGAAGTTCTTGTTTCCCGCTTCCCAGCTAAAAAGATTTATTGTAAGTAAAATGTTAAATTTTTATCAACACTGTTGCTGGAAATTCTTTCCCTCCGATAAATAATTATCGATACGCTCGAGATGAGATCAGAAACCAATTTAGGTCTTCGTGTAAAATGCCCGTTACTGTTTCCGGATTTCATCAAAAATTTAAATCTATCAAAATTTCATGACATGCGATGAGTGGTTCTCTAATCACGTGCGGACAGACGGACGGGGAAGCCAATAGGAGTATTTAAGAAAATTTTCTTTGCAAGCGCAAAAATTAGATATCCTCATTGGTGGTGAAGACTCTTAAATCAGGAACTCAATGTTGTACCTAAGGATCCACCATTCTTTAAAGTTTTCCTTAGACTCGAGTTCAAATGAAATCACTTTACAAAGAAAAAGGAACAAATAAAACAAAATGAACACACAAAGAGCGAAGGAAGAAAGAAATATAAATTATGTGGCTGCAGGGGCAGATTACGTGACATATATTTGCATAAAACTTACGATTAAACTGTTATTTCGTAATATTTCAAACACAATATTCCTTCTACAGAGTGATTCAAAAATCCTGTGCACCTGTAACAACAGACGCTTGAAGTGAGAAGAGATTCATAAGCCACTGTGCTTACACACGCCCTATATGACGCAAATGACCTGCGCGTCACTTGACTCAAAGACCTTAACGACTGTTTTTCTTGAAACATCTTTGCTGTTCAGTGTGAGCTCTTTGGACGGTCGCAGGTGTTTTGAAAATGGCTGTCACTTGAGGCACAACTGTTCTTGGTGGAACACGTGTTTATTATGCAGGTAAATACACAGAAATAGCGAAATAGAAGTTTTCTGAATCTACGTGTGTACGTCAAGGGCGTATGTGCGCGCAGGGACTTCTGAATCACCTTGTACTTGCCTTTTATAAAAATTATGTGAAAGAACATTTTATGAGATTGTATTTACAGGCAAATATTTGTTGAACCTCTTTTCGATCTCTCAATGAAGGTACAGAAACTCTTAACCTAAGAGGAAAACGGGACCAAATTCCATTTTGTCTCTTCCTAAACATGAATAGTTGCTTTGTGCAATCAATATTCGGAAAATGTGAAAAAAATATCGTGCCGTCGGTTACAACGGTATAAAACCTGATGCGTAATGATTTCGTTTAAATACATGACGAATATGACATATGGCTTTAAGTGTTCCGAAGGATTTGTTTTAAAAGTTATTTGCCATCTGGTATTGAAGGCTTTTTGGTGTTCGCTCAGATCACTAATCATCATGTCCCCCGACTATAAACAGTTGCAAAATCAAGTTCAATTAGACGGATTCACCTAGCTAAAAAAAATAGGGACCAGTGATAAAACACCCGAGTCCCATAAAAACGCGGAGAATTTCTTAACCAGCTGAGCGACTAATAGCTTCGCAAAAGGGCTGTTCTCCACGGAATTACGTGTCCGGGGACAATGATCCAGCATATTCAAAATTGAATTGTTCGTCTCCGTAAAAATATGATTTATTTTCAGGTGATAACATTCGCATCTTTTACTAAAATCATTGCTAAACAGTGCAGAGAATGGAGTCTGTCAGGCAATTAAAGGTCCAAATTACAAAATGTCTACTGTACATGAATGTTCAATATTTCATATGAATTCATGAATATTCAACTAGATACTGACTGATTTGCCTTCAGTCGATAACTGTCATTGGAATTATAAGGGTTGCCAGGGTAACAATGCATTTAACAGATTGGGTTATTTCTGTGAACGACGAATAGGGGGGGGAGGGGAAGCAGTGATTGAAGGAGACAATAAAATGGCAGATCTCAGATACACATTATTTAGATTTAAAAGAGCGGGTTGGTCTGTAATAGTTCAATTCCATTCAAAAGATGAGAAATATATCACCTTCTTCAATTGGATACATTCGAACATAATACAACTTTTCTGAATATATTGCGCTGTTTAATTTATATTATATTAATTATATTTTTAAAATCTTATTATAGAACTTTAAATGTAGTGTGCGATTTATTTAAATGGATTTAAATGCATCTCACTGATACCAGAGTAAATAAATTTTACTGTGAAGATTCAACAAGATCAAAACTGTTTCAAAATGCCGGGAATAATAAAAAACATTAATAAATTAAATATACGTAAGTCATCCAATGACAGTCATCATTTGACATTTGGCGTCATAAGAAGTTAAAATCATGATCTCTGAGCGTCACTTCCCACCTCAAGACAGCATAAGGTCCATACCAAATCGCATAATAATATTAAGAAATGTAGAAAATAAGTAACATCAAATGTTATAACGTCCATACTAAATTTTGTGAGAATTCGTTATTAAGATATTTTATTCGTAGATACGTACAAAGCGAGTCTAATTAATGAGTGCTTCGAAAAAATGTTTAAAAAGCTGTAATTCACATGACTGAAAGCATCCTTTTGAGATTAAAGAGAAAAATGTATGAATAAAAGTGGCAGTATACGCAATGGGTTTCTGCATCAGTTATGTTTAATTGGAGGCAAAGCTGACTTTAATAAAGTGTAAAGCACTTCATACCTCTTTCAACTCTCCGCCACACAACTACATCGTTCTCAGTGGATTAAACGTCGTATTTCAGTGTAGTTTTTGTATGAAAGTTATGTTCAAATGAGATTACCGCGGAAAAGCATACGGCCTGGGACTCCAAGCACCCAGGGATCATGAGTTCGAGCCCAGTGGGCGGTATGGACATGGGTAGAGACATTGAGATTGGCCATCCAAGGAGTCCCATCAGATTCATAAGAAATATTTGAGGATTAATTACAAATAGAATCAGTCTGGAGATCCTAAACTGGACTTAAACAATTCGTCCACAATTGTTGGTGCTCTGGTTACATAAGACGCTAATCACGAATGTGATGGGAATGAATGACAGTGAATCTGGAAGGATTCGAGAGGAAGCAGTCCTCAATTACCTGAAATGACTGAGTAAAATCATAAGTCTGTGCCGCGGGCAAGATGCAAACCAATTAAATTCTGACTACCAACCTCTTCAGTATTTGGTATATAAGTGAGGTTGAAAGAAGTCCATTTTACGAAGCATCGTCTAATTCCTATTTGACCAATAACTGCAAGTTCCTTCTGGCCTACAAAGCGTCTTTGTAGTCTAGCACCAACCGGACAAGTTCTCGATCTAATCTCGCTAACAACTTCTATTTATCTATATATTTCCTTTTTGGCATACGTAATATTCTTCTCTTATGTTGTCCTTTGTACGTAAAGTCCTTTTGATGGGTTGATTGCCCACCGAATGAAGTCTACCGGACGTTAAATCGGTAAGTAACTCGGCGGAGCAGAGAATTTTATTTATTTATTTGTGGTTTAGTTGGCCAGTCTGTCATAGCGTCGAATGATAAGAAGAATAATGAATTAAAAACAATGTTGAAGTAATTGTTGGCCTAATTTAAGACACTATCCCGACTTCTGCCTAGAGGGACTGAGGAAAACCTAGAAAATTATCAGGCTAGTAGATATACAGACCGAGATTGTGGCTTCTTTAAATGTCTGATCCTGAATTGTGTTGACAGAAATGAGAAAATAATGTACACAGTGTAACGAGCAAACCGGCTGATATTCGGTTTCTAGGGTCGCACCTCTAATAGCGCGTTAAAATTTGGCCAAAATTATGAACACGTGCCGCGTACAAAGTTTAGCTGAAATCCATTTATTCTGGGCTGTAACGTGTCTAAATTACAACCAGTGTAAATGTCAATATGCATCTTATTAATTACAGTAGCTTCAATTTAAAATACTTTTGACTAAAAGCACAATTTCTAAAAATTCATTTACACACTTAGGACATACGACAAGGGGTCCTAACGCGGCAGCATAAAACAATGACTCGTTGCAGACCTTAAAAACATATTACATAAACATCACGGAAAGCTAAGGGCAGGCACTCCAGCTTCAGGGTCGTGGAGGGGGTTAATTCCTCACCGTAAAAACTGCGTTTTGTGTAATGTCATACGAAAGGAAAATGCGAAATATATACAAAATTTTAGTCAGACGACTTAGTCACGTCGGAGAGCTGCAAGATGTATAGGTACATGAGAGAATAATATTAAAATGAATAATAAATCGTGGTTTTGAGAGTGTGGACTAGGTTCATCTAGCTCCGGATAGGCATAGCAATCAATCTTCAAATTCCATAAAAAAAACTTGGGATATCTTGAATAGAGTCTTCTCCATGAATTTCGTTAGTTATTCGATGTTTTATACTAAATATATAAGTTCGCAAGTAGCCTGGAAAATCAAATACTAGATCCGGACTAACACTTAAATACGACCTCCCCATTATGTTTTCAGTTCATATACCAAAATCGTATTGGGAAAATTCACCAAACGTGTGTGTTGATTTCCTATAAACGCTAATAGAACTTTATCAAGTTTTGTTACAGCTCGATATAAAAACACATGCAGGTCACAAATTACATAACGTAGTGTATCAATAAGGTTCGTGACTAGAGTTGAAATATTTTTAATAACGGGATTAAGAAAAACCATATTTATATTAATTTACGAATAAGAGGTTTAATGAACTAAAACGAAAACGAAATTTAAACAAACGTTTACCTTATCCCACATCCGATCAAAATTTATAGTTTCTTTTTTATTATTTTCACACCAGCAGTGACTGTTTACAATAAATGGACTGAATTGTTTTGACCGATTTGATATGACCCTCTGACACAGCGATTAAACACTGACCAACATCATACAGAACAGCCAATATGCTTGAAAACATGAATTTTACAGCTTAAATACATCAAGTCACGAAGATGATTCACAACCATAAAAAGTACTTACTCGTTTGAAGTATCCATGTTGCCTGTAGAAGTCACTAGATTCTGATACCCACTTCACATTTCAGTGAATCATAAACACATATAAGGTGTACGAACCAAGTTCATTAAATTATCGACGTATAATTATGCATATTCTCAGTGATATTGAAACTTTTTAACTAAATAACTCAAGTGCAACGTATCTGAATCACAAAATGCACAGATTATAGAAAATGTCACATTTTTAAACATTCCCTAAGTGTTAAAGTTATCTTAAACTCTTCCTAAAGTAAATACGAAATCAAATACACCTACAAATATTAATAACACAGGTTATTATGCATTTAAAATTACCGTGTAATGCAAACACCAAAAATAAATTTAATCTACGATATGTTCAACTTACAACTAAATTAGTCTAACATTTTATTACGTTTAAATAATTATTTTCGTTACTCAAACATGAATTAAATTAAATATAAAAAGGTACTAGTGTGATTAAAACTCGGCAGGTTAATGCGTCCGAAATCTTCCTTCCTGAAAAGGAGATCGCGTCATTCGACCAACTATTGCCTTCAAGAGGATCCATTCGACTGAAGGGACACCCCCGTTCGAAGGGACGGACGGACGGAATACACTCCGTGCGTCTACGCGACACTACCCCTCCTTTCCCCTCGACAAACCTTTTTGCACACTCGGTTCAACAAGTTTCACTGTCCAATACAAACGCTGTCGACGGAATTGCCCCTGCCCTCGCAGGCAACACCGCAATACGATTTAAATTCGCATATACAAATAGGTAAGACTCAACGTAACACAGACTTTTTTTTGAGAATTTAACTATTTAATATCAACTTTAATATTAACCTCCCATGTATTGTACACTTCATCTTCAAAGTGGTTTATTCCCTTTATGTACTGTGGTTGAATTTTTGCAAGCATTTCTGTTCGCTCCAATGCGTACTACATGCCCAGTCCATCTAATCCTCCTTGATTTGACCACCAAAACAATAATCGGTCTTACTCATATAATATTTGCGGCTGTATTTAATAGGTCACTGACGCAGAGTTAATGATTTATGACGTCATTGTTTGCAAACAGCAGTCTTGTTGGTAAATAATTAATATATATCCAAAGTAACGTACGATTCAACACAACGAATACCTAAGTCCCCCGTTGGAAATTATCCTGAAGCAGTTCCATCCAGTTGCCTCTCTTTCTTCTATCTTAGTGTTGTTCTACCATCTTATTCTTCGTCTTCCAAGCTGTCGTTTTCCAGGAAGCGTTCCAAAAATAAGTACGTATGCATTATATTTTACTCAAAATAGAGTGTAAGTTTCAAGGAAACAAATAAAACATTTCTTTTTTGGCATTATAAATTCTTTAAAAACGACGTTTTGGACGATAGATTTCTTGGCCACATGAACGATTATCGATTCTCCACGGAGTTAGTCAAGAAGGTAGCATAAATATGTTCTTTCAATCGCAGGACTTTCACTTCTAAACTCAAATTCGTCAATAGACAATGAACTTCTCCATTTCATTTCATGGGGGGCTTTGACATTGAACCCAGTGCGTCTCTGCTGAGACATACCTCATTTTTCATCCGCTGTGTACACTTGGTACAACACCAGCCCGATGCTCTTGCATTCGGGAAGTAGCAAATTAGAAATTCCGCTGGCCCTACACAGCCTAAATGTTTCTAATACTTTTCCCCGGATCCTGTGAGAAAAATCTGTGGTAGTACAATAAAAATTTCACTGCATTTTCCGTTGTTATTCGTGGATAAGTTCAGTCCTCGCTTTACGAAGATCCGCGTTATGAAAATTCCCTCACAGACGTATTATAATGAAGCGGGTACCGTCTGCTTGGTTCGCCATCCGAAAGCGAACTCGTTTACCCGAAATCTTCCGAACTAAACCGAACACTGATAAAGAAAACGTAAACAAAGGAAGCCTAGTCAGTCAGTTAAACCGTGAAATGTACACAAGTCAGTTGGCCAATTTGACATTATTTTTCTGTATTTTTATAACGCGTGCATTATCTGTTTCCGTTGCTTGTACGTTTTGTTTTAGGCAATAAAAATACTGATTTATAAGTTTTTGGTCATTTCTCGGTCATTCTGGAACGTAACACCAAATTGTAACATTGCGCTTATGGAAAATTGCGACTCGCTTTATGAACTGTCTCCAGGAACGCAAATGTTTGTTAGATCGGGGACTACCAGCACATTATAAACTACACACATTAGATTGTTACTCTAAGTTTATTTAGCGGAAATCCAAAACTGAGAAGAATCCTAAGTCTCACAAAATGTTTACATTGAAATTACTTCAATGGGTAACGACTCTATTCTGGACAACCCTATTTTTCATCGGAGACCGAGGTAGATAACATGAGATGAACTTTGCTGTAAATTAAACATTTCAATGTAAATCTGACAAATGAAGCGAAAGATATTTCACATAATATTCCTTATTGACTCAGGTTTTCGTTATACATGTTTTTATCAAGCATGAGCTCAAATAAACTCGTTTTAGTTTAATTTATTTATGAGGATAATGGAATCCATAATTCAGAATACATGAAAGTGAGCATATCTTGTTTCTCTACCCAAGTTTCTAGTAACACGTTCTATGCTCTACAAATTCAACATTAATTTTCTTCAGCTGATGTATTATTCAAAACGAAAAAAGAATATAAAACTTTCTTTAACAGCGTTAAAAAAAGGGAACACAGACTTGTTTCAAAATAAACTGTTTCTTCCACATGGTTGCCATATCTCAAAGAGAAATAATATGGGTTGCATTTATTACAAATCCATTTTGAATCTCGTTCGTTTATAACAAAACGAGAGGCACGGATTTCTAACAGACAATTTATACTAAATTTCTACCGAGGTAACCATCCACGACAAATTCGATAAACCAAAATACCTCACCAAGTGGCCTATAATGACTGGCTATAGGCTAGTCGACCATAGTTCTAATCCCAGAAAAGACTGCTGGTTAAGGCGGAGGAAATTTGAAGCTGACCACTCGCCTCCATCTAATATCAAACCTAAGAATTCTAGGAGCAATGCCACCATTACCCCCATACTTTTTCATGGCTTGGTGTTTAACCAATTTACGAGGTAGCATTAACAGCAGATAAACAGAGTGCTTTATCATTTTAATGCGATACAATGTAATTTTCATACGCAGAGTGTATTTTAGGATTTAATTTGGCTTTCAGAACAAAGAGAAACTTTCACCGTATTATTAACAGACTGGTATATGTAGCAGTGCTGTATATATATAACGTACAAGAATTATACATATTTAAATAACACTAATTATTTAACATAAATTAATATTAAAAACGTTTGTGTAATGTGTAACACATCAAAAGTAACATAAAACCTCGATCATACATTTTAGAGTCTTTCAAACACAAAATTTACACAAGTATTTCAATAAGAAGGAAATAATTGAAATTTGGTAAAATCATGTTCAATATGTTAAAATATTAATTACAGGAAAAAGTTCAATAAAACAATATTATTTTGCGGAAATGAAAGCTGCTACTTGCCGACCAAGAAACTTTAGGAAATAGAAATGCAAAGAAAGAATTATTTACTTAGGCACAACACAGAACTACAAAACGGATAAAACAAAAATTTAGTCAAGAGAATTCAGCGGATGGTCGAAGAAAAACAAGTAAGAATGTTATTTATAGGTACTCGAAGAAAAAATTCTGAACGAAGAGATGACATAGAAGGCGAAATATTACGTACAGAACGAAAATAAAAACTGCAACTAATACTTCAAGATTTTTAAAGCAAATTAAGTAACGAACAGCAGAAACAGGCCGTGGTTGCTGATTAAGACTTCTGCTTTTAAACGAATTTTCAATCTTACGCACCGCGAGGCAAGAAATAATTATTGTCAACAACATTCATCAGTACACTTATCTGATGAAGCAGATTATTTTTTCAGAAACTGGTAATGGTATAGAGGGTCAAAAATGTTTCAGCCGATTATGGGCCCCAGATATTTGTATTCGATGTCGTTTGTTGAATAGCGGCTTCTTGTAAACGCCATACGTAATTAACTGTCTTTGTTTCTTTCCTACACAACCTGTAATTATTAAAGTTTTTTAGATTTCTATCTTCTGGGTTGTTGTGCCGTGTAGTCTGGTCGATGTTTACCAACGTTTCAGGGGTCATACTGCCTCCATCATCAGGGCGATGAATCTGAAATCTTCATACTCACCGCTGTAAAAACCTCAGATCTAACATATTAAACTTTTGTATGAATCTAAAATAACATCAAAGCTATGCGAGATAAATGTTTTAACTGCAGTTAAGATATCTTTGTTGGTCTTCTAAGCTATAACGCCGTGTAGACTTGTGGATACATATCAACGTTTCGCAGGAACATACTGCCTGCATCTTGAGAGTTAAAAGTAAAAGCAGTATTTTAAGTATGAAGTATGAACTGTACCTATATAATGTTTAAAATTCTGTATCTGCATCAAAGAGAATACGACGCGTCTCCACTGTAAAGACGAGTTGACTAACGCTGTTTAGAAAATAATCCCTGTTTATTCTAAGAATATTTCTAAAAAGTAGGCGCATTCTGTGGTCACAGCGCAGATTTAAATGAATGTGTTTAAACACTGAACACATAAAGGAACTATTATGGTTTGAGTATATCACTTTAAGAGACTTTCTTTATGAAAATATATATTTAGGTCGATTAATCAATTCAGGCCTTAATTAAATTACAGGGGCTGATAAATTAACGTCGAATAAGATGTAAAGATAGGACAAATTGAGTGGGGGGAAGTATTCGGAAAGAGTTTGCCATGCCCATGAATATGATAAAGAACACCACGAAATCCCTTCGTCAGAAGACGAGGGACCCAGCGCGAGATTTGAATCCGGTATCTCCAGAAAATAAGTAAGAACTGATGTACTGATAAGTCTCAGAGACTTTAGCGCGCTTCTTTGAACATTATTATTACACTCGAACTACATGTTCCAAACACTTCATTTCTGCAGACTGTACGATGCCTCTGTCTTCAAACTACGTGACATAAATACGTGAATTGTGTTATGATCCGATTCTCAAAGTTGCTGCTGTACTTTGGTGACGTGTTCCTTTAGACCAACTTTCTTTTCGTGTAGAATCCAGCTGTCTAAAACTATGTCAAGTGTGAATTTATAGCGTCGCGTCCTAACATACCGACTTTGAAGTTTATATTCTTCGCAAAGAAACCTTCACGTCTTCCAGCCATATTATAATGCCAGCAAATATTAGATGAATTACAGAGTAAAATCACGATGGCATGGCACCTAAAAGTTTCTGCGGCATTAGAACTTTTTCCTTAAAGTTTCAAGCACTTACATTAGATATTAATACCTAGAGAGCAAAACCGATCCCTGATATGAGAACAAAATACCAAATTCGACCATTATCGACGTATTTAAACAAATAAATTTTGTACAGTCATCCCCACAAAGTTGCACATACATGTCTTTCCAGCCTGTGGACAAAGTTTAGAACTTCGGT